ATGAGTCTCTGGCTACTTCCTGCTGACTGGGGACGTCGTCTACAGGGGTCTGCTGAGGGTATCTTGGGGCTCCACAGGGGCAGGCATGTATGGATGGAGAAGCATCTGGTTGACCACCTGGTTGCTGAAGGCCTTGGTTCATTCCATTATCACCTGCTGTAAACACTTAAACAGACACTGTAGTATACAAGTCAGAGTGAGAATAGCAACCAATGATCCTAAGAGTGGCATTAACCAGGTAATGAAAGGATTTCATAGAGGAGAGGAAATGAGGGGGGTCTCTGGACCCTTGTGAGGATGGTTTGATGAACGTGGTTTAAATCTGATCCCAGCTGAGACCAGGAGTAAGGCCACTCAACTTTCGCAGGTAGAGGGGTTTGTCTGTAGAGAAATTCTGAATAATCATACAACATTAAGTGAGGGAGAACACCATCAGTACAACACAGGTTGGGAGTAGAGTCAACTAAGTTTTCTGATTGAGAGGCAAAAAGAACCTGACAGAAGGGGCTTGGTAATAATCTGGTGGGCTTTAGGCCTTATAAGTTAAGAGGCCCAGACCTGTCTCTTCACATAGGGTACAACCTAAGGGAGGTGTGAATCTCCTTGGGGAAGGTACCCTGTTGACTTCCATTACCTATCTGGCCTGGGAGGAGAGCTGGCCAGGTAAAGGCAGGTGGCAACTAACGGGAAATTTACAGTTCTGCCTGCAATGTTGCTGACCCTACTTGGCTATCCCCTCAGCTGCGGTGGTCACTTTGGAAGCTGGGCTGAGTGAAGGGCTTTTCAGCTTAGAGCCAGCAAGGTCTGTGGCTCTGACCTGAAGTCCTTCGACTCCCGGGCAGTTCCATTTCCAGTGATGCAACTCTTTGCTGGCAGAGCTGCCAGGGCTCTTCATAAGCTGACTTCTGCTAAAGCCCAGGCTTGCCACATTGAAAGCCACTGCAGTGGACTGGCCTGTTGGGTCTCCTTGAGGGCAGATCACTGTACACGACAGCTGTTAATAGGCCTGCCACCTGTCTTCACATTTCTGATACCTGGCTTTCTCTTCCTCCTGGTTTTTGTTAAAGCAGACCAGAGGATGCAAGTGAAGGGGGTGCTCAAGTCCCAGATCACTTACTGACAATAGCAATATCAAATGAAAATTTAGAAAGCAGTTTCAATCATTAGATAACAAATAGCAGTTTCAATACTAGCTTTTTAAACTCTTTAACTGTTTTTTAATTTACCAATTGATTCGAATTACTTTGTGCTCTTAGTAACCTCAGCTAACCATACTTTCAGTTGGTACCTATAATAGATTATTGGCTTCATCTGTTTACAGCACCATCCCAAAGTACTGAATACAACAGAAGTGGCTGGAAAAAGTCCATCAGAACCTGTAGGAGGACAGCTAAACACAGAACCAACAACACTTTAGTTTTATGAGCAGCAAATCTGATATGTAAAACTGTGATGACAAAAGACTTTAAGTTGTCTCGTTTAAAATTATAAACTTATTGTAAACTCAACAAGAGGTACTTGCTTACTTCACATAGCATTTTTGAAAGCATCTGTAGGATTTTACAGAACATTTAACTCTTTAGGCCTCTGTGGCTTTCTCATTAAGATCCAAGATTTCTTCCATAACCTTCTGTGACTTCCATACACCCTCTTCAACTTACTTGAAACATTCCATCATTTCCATTCCAGTCTAGAGTAAACTAGCCATCAGGGAGGAAGTCAATCTTACAAACCTTGTCCTTTCAGCACCATCTGCAAGGTGTCTGGCGCGTAACAAATCTTCCCAGGCAGACGAATCAATTAATTCACAGGCTGTTATTGGGGTTCTCCTGGGCGAGGTTCCACGGCCCCAACAGAGCAGCGGCCGGGAAAGTCACATGTCAGAGATTGGGAGAGCTCCTTTTATAAATTCAGGACATGGGGGTTAAAGGTTGAGGCGGGTCTTTCCTTTTAACCTTCCTTACCAAATGCACATTTCTATAACATTTTTAACACAAATTTAACATGCTGAGTATACAAGAGTTTACAATAAATTAGCAGTTACACCTAAATGACTTAAGATTCTGATATTAAATATCGCTATCTGAATTAAATTAAAATTAAAATTGCATTCATCTAAAACAAGTACTAATTACCCATTGTTGGTTCATTGAGTACTGATTACCTGGAAACCTGTTAAAATAAATTACAAAAATAAGTTCAGCAAGTTACAAAGCAGTATTTTCAAAGGTAGTGATCTTAGATTCAAAGGAAGGAGACCAGACGAGGAGGCTAGAAAGCCACGTGTTCAGGAACAGGTCCTTTTAAAACTTTGCCAGAGGGCGGCCAGGGAAGCAGGAGCAGCAAATCCCATTAGGATGGGGGTGGGGAGCTTGACACTGGTGGTTGGGCCATGTGGCTACCTGGCTTCCAGCAATGGCCGAGGGGAGAGGCAGGACATGGGGTGGGGCAGGGCGGAAGAATGCTCATATGGGGGTGGGAGGTTCCTGGCTAGCTGTGGGGTCCCCGGGAACTCAGGAGAGTCAAGACTTTGGCAGTAACACAGAAGAGGCATCCTTAGGAGGTGGGGGCCCGATCGTGGCCAGCAAGACCTGGGCTGTGGAGCAGGCAGAGAGGAAAGTAAGGGAGAAGGGAGTAGGATGGGAGCGGAGGTTACAGAAAGCCTGGACATATGAGACCTCTGACCATTTTCTCTCCCTGCGGCAGAAATTCTCAAGGTAATTAGGCCATGCCTGGGTGGAGTAGAAGATTAGGCGTTTACTCCGTAGGTCCTGGGCCAGTCCCAGTTCCTTCAAGTTCTTTAGCAGGCAGGCCAGGGGGCATTTTGAATCCCACCCTCGAGATCGGCCAGATCGGTCTCCCCGGTAGCCCGGATCTACTGAAATTTGGTCAAGGCGTCCCCTGTCCCGGACTTCAGCAGACGGATTAGAGGTCAGTCCTCTACGGGGCCAAGCCAGTGGCAGGACATCTCCAACAGCCGCTGGGAAGCTAAATAGCAGAGAACAGAGCCCACGTGCACACGATTTGGAGGTCTCTGTCCGGCCGGAGAGCTAGCCGGGGATCGCAGATACTGGGCCAACCCAGAGGAGGGAGGGAGAACAAGGGAGGAGTTACTTACAGTTGGTCGAGCGTGGTCCGTAGTCAGCCTGGGGCACCAGACAGGTTCAAGGAGTGAGGGGGCCTCGAACCCAGAAAGGGGAGGCGTCAACCTCAGCTCCCGGGTTTCAGCACCATCTGCAAGGTGTCTGGCGCGTAACAGATCTTCCCAGGCAGACGAATCAATTAATTCACAGGCTTTTATTGGGGTTCTGCTCCTGGGCGAGGTTCCACGGCCCCAACAGAGCAGCGGCCGGGAAAGTCACATGTCAGAGATTGGGAGAGCTCCTTTTATAAATTCAGGACATGGGGGTTAAAGGTTGAGGCGGGTCTGCTCCTCTGACCTTTAGGCACCCGCAGGGACCTTGACAAGGACTTTCTTCCCTGGAAGTAGGCCTCTCCATTCCCGGAAGTGTAGGCCTTCCCTCCTTGCGATCCCAAAGCTACCAGTTTCCTGTGTCCCTATAGATCTGATGTCTACACATTTAGTGTAACAGCCAATTCTTAATGGAGTAAACTTCATTGGAAAAGATTTCCGTTTAAATAGAAAGTGGTCTGTCAATTGGGTGTTTGCCTTGGATTTGGTTCTAGGTAAACCCAGAAGTGCTATAGTTGTCTAGATTACTGCAGTTGTCTTATCTGCAACATTTAACTATTTCCAGGAAATAGTGGTGTGACTTTAGTAACAGGGGCTTCCAAAGGTGTGTGCCCTCAGACCCCCAGAGTTGAATGTCAGTTACACTGGGGTTTGGGATGGCACAGAGGGGCACATTCTTAAGTACTACTGGATAAGCATGGATGACACTGGAGCTTGTGACACCAATTGCCATGGCCCTAAAACTATAGGGTTGGACAGCACCTTGCCCAGATCTTGCTTGGTGGGCTTGGCTGCCAATGGGGATTATGGCACCACAGCATGGACTAGCACAGTATGTACTGGGGATTATGCACTGGCTTACAGCAGTGGAATGCAAGTAGGGCCTTCCACTGGTTCAGTTAACAGGTGGGAATGAAATCAATTAATAATTTTAAAATAAATAAACTTAGCATTGTCAGATACTCTATTTTAAGACCTGAATTTATGGCCGGCACCACGGCTCACTAGGCCAGTCTTCCACCTGCGGCGCCGGCACCCCAGGTTCTAGTGCCGGTCGGGGTGCCAGATTCTGTCCCGGTCACTCCTCTTCCAGTCCAGCTCTCTGCTGTAGCCCGGGAAAGCAGTGGAGGAAGACCCAAGTGCTTGGGCCCTGCACCCGCATGGGAGACCAGGAGGAAGCACCGGACTCTGGCTGTGGATTGGCGTGGTGCTCTGGCCGCAGCGTACTGCTGGAGCGGCCATTGCGGGGTGAACCAACAGAAAAGGAAGACCTTTCTCTCTGTCTCTCTCACTGTCCACTCTGCCTGTCAAAAACAAACAAACAAAAAGACCTGAATTTTATGGCTGTACCTTGTCTGTACACAGATATCATAATCTAGTGATATTCTTTTGAAAATACAGGATGGTAAACTGTTTTCTTTGTTTATGCCATTGTGAATAATATCACAGTGTAGTACTCAATAAATGTCTATAACAGGGATAACAAGTACAAATGGACTACAGAAAGTTTGTGAGAAGTGGAATTAAACCATGTTTGTTTTGTTAGAAAAAATTTTATAATCCATGCATAGCATTTTTATAATAAGTATTTTCTACAGACTTACTGAAGCATCCTTCTCTACTTCCCAAAATTTACTGTTAATATGTCAGCTTGAGTTCAAACTGTTTTCTCTTGGGTTTTGGTTTTAAATTGTGAAGTGTTGCATTTAAGAAAAATAAGATTTCTTCCTTTAAACTTATTTTGAAGAAGACAAAGTATGTTTCTCTTGAGTATTATTTTAAAATTATTTTTGCCTTCTCTTTCTAGATTTCCCACCAAGCGAACCCCAGATCAAGAGTCAGTTTAATAAGAGTGCACACAAAGGACTGGGAAATACAAAACAGTCACTGCAGCTGCCACTTCATCCTTCGTGGGAGGCAAGCAGGAGGCGAAAAGAACAGCAGTCGAAAATCGCTGTGTTTCAGGGGAAAAAAATTACATTTGATGATTGATCAGTACCTCTTCTTGTGAACTTTCGTTCTAAAATTCTTTTTTAACTAGCCTATTTAAATGAATTTTAATGCCTCTTTGGAGGTATATAATATATTTGTCTTTTTCTTTCTTGAATTAAAATTATGTTTCATAAATCAGGTGTATACTTAGATTAACTTTTAATAACATGCCCCAGACTGTTTCCTGTATAAAAGAATTTTGGGATTATAGTGACTCCAGATTTTGTCATTTGTGCTTATATGAAGTGTATGTCACTGGCTTAACTCGTTTTTGGCTTAAAAATAAATATTGGGATACATTTAAAATAATATTGGAAAATATGAGGAAATCAGATCTATTTAAAATACATCACTCTTGTTAAAAGTTAAGAAAACTAAAGTATGAATGTGCAAATAATAAATAATAGGCATATTACTTTTATATAGTTTTCTATAACAATTTGGGATTTATTAATTATATTTCTATTATTTAGGCAAATTTTTTAAATATTGCAACGTAACCAATCCATTTTACTTGTGTATTTCACTGCTTAGAAATATTTCTATTAAATCAAGAATCTATAATATCTAGTTATTTGACAGTGTACTTATAACCTTTTTTGAGGAATTGTAAGGTTATAATTTGTAAGAACTTCTGAAATAGGTAGGACTGAAAGAGTCTCTCTACCAATGGCTCAGCAGAGAGGTCATGAGGTGACTCCCTGAGGAGGGGCTACTTTATACACCATAGTGCTGCTATTTAAGCGAAGAACAGGGTTTTGTTTTGTTTTGTTTTTATTAGACAGGTAGAGTTATAGACAGTGAGAGAGATACAGCGAGAAAGGTCTTCCTTCCGTTGGTTTACTCCCCTAATGACCGCTACAGCTGGCGCTGCGCTGATCCGAAGCCAGGAGCCGGGTGCTTCCTCCCGGTCTCCCATGCAGGTGCAGGGGCCCAAGCACTTGGGCCATCCTCCACTGCACTCCTGGACCACAGCAGAGAGCTGGACTGAAAGAGGGGCAACCGGAACTAGTACCCGGCACCCCAACCGGGACTAGAACCCGGGGTGCCGGCACCGCAGCCGGAGGATTAGCCAAGTGAGCCATGGCACTGGCCCGAAGCACAGGGTTTTTAAAAGCCCTTCCAATTTCAACTTTTTTTTTCCTACTGTAGGAGAAATGTGAAGGTTCTTGGTTAACTAAGTAATGCTAACTAAATATAATCTTTTGTGGTGAGCATTTTCTGCAGCAGTTAGGATGTCACTTGGACATCAGAGAACCCAAGTTCAAGTCTTGGCCTTGTTTCTGATTCCAGCTTTTCGCTCATGTGCACCCTGGGAGGCAAGAGGTGATCCCTTAAGTTGTTGGGTCTCTGCCACCCCTGTGATTCAGATCCAGGCTCTTAGGCTTTTCCCAGCACCAGCTGTTGTGGACATTAGGGGAGTGAACCAGTGAACAGAAGATCTCTATCTATGCCTCTCTCGGTCCTGCCTTTCAAATAAATAAAAAATATAAATAGATTAAAACTGTAAAATAAGTAAATTTAACATATCCTGCAGGTTAATGGCACAAAAGTCCATCTGATTAACCAGGCTTCACAAGTTCTTTAGAGTCATTTCTATCTATTTTAAGAGTTCAAGAATTTAGGCCAGCACCGTGGTTCAATAGGCTAATCCTCTGCCTAGCGGCACCGGCACACCGGGTTCTAGTCCTGGTCAGGGTGCCGGATTCTGTTCCAGTTGCCCCTCTTCCAGGCCAGCTCTCTGCTGTGGCCAGGGAGTGGAGTGGAGGATGGCCCAGGTCCTTGGGCCCTGCACCCTATGGGAGACCAGGAGAAACACCTGGCTCCTGCCTTCGGATCAGCGCGGTACACCGGCCGTGGCGGCCATTGGAGGGTGAACCAACACAAAAGGAAGACCTTTCCTCTCTGTCTCTCTCACTGTCCACTGCCTGTCAAAAAAAAAAAAAAAAAAAGGAGTTCAAGAATTTAGATAATTAGAAGAATGGAGTTCAAGATACACAATAGGAAAGCCATTCTGTGTGTTGAATGCAAAATTTTACTTTTTTGTTTTGGTTGATGTAATTTCAGACTGACAAAGTGGAAGGAAATGTTTCTGTGCCTAACAGACCCTGAGGATGCTGCCCTTCAGACAGAAAAGTCTGCCCAAGCCTTCTTACCCCAACTGCAGGAGGGTTGATCCAGTTAAAGAGTTAGAAGGAAAGTTATATATCTTGGTTTCTAGGTTTTGGTATGCAAAGAACGGTTGGACTTGTTTCTGGGATGCAGTGAAGTTACTTAATCAGGGTGGTCTTTCACAGCACCATGGTTTGTTAGCATGAGTCCAAAACAACCATTTAGTCGAGGACAGTGGTTCTGAACTTAGGGCAGTTTTGCCCCACAGTGAACATTTGGCAGCATCAAGAGTTATTCTGCATTGTCACTAGGGGAAACAGAGCTGGCTACACACAGATACAGGCCCAGGATACTGCTCTGCTGTCTAGAGTACCACCAAAACCAAAAATTCCAGCCCCAGATTAATAATACTGATGTTGAAAACCCCTGGTCTGGGGTTCAGTTGGCCCCATTACTGAGGCATTACCATTGTAAGCATTCCTCCTGATAGTTTGTCTACTAGGAAATCTGTGTGGCTGGTAAAAGCAATCCATGTCTGAGTCCGTAAGCGCTTTGTTTTTCTTCCCTGGCCTGGGTAGGTTCTTTATGTGCATTGCGGAGATCAGTCTACCAAACACTCAAGGGGACCCTGTTACACGTTCCAAAGCACATTCTCTTTTTGTGTTCCTCTCCTTATTCTCCAGCATTTTGCCTCACAAATTAGTCACATTGAACTGAACTCTGAACTCTTGTCTCTCCAGTTCTGTAAATCACGTGGGCTTCCTTCCACTCTCAGTGTGGTGCGAAATCTCTGCAGGCTGTGAACTGATTGCACTTGTTTGTATAGCACTCATTGTTTTCCTTCACTTAGGTATGGCCTGTTGCCCATCACTTGAATACCATTGTTTATGTCTTTTGTTCAGTTTTCTGGTTGTTTAATATAGAAGGTCAAATCCACAATCCCTGTTACTTTACCACGGTCATAAATTTTAAGTTTTTCAGTATTTATTTTGAAGTTCATATTGTGCTTAATTTCACCCGTGGGAGATTCTTTAAGCTTGTGTCTTCTGATCTATTCTTTACCTCTGAGAAAGCTGGTTCATGATATCCACAATAGATTTACGTATTTGCTCAACACTAAAGTATATAGAAATTAGTTTTAGAATTGTGATGTGATGCCTCTGTAAAACAAGTTAACTTTTTAAACTAAGTTTAGTATTTGCTTAGAGTTCTTCTTTAATGTGAAGGTGTATGATCTCAGAATTGTTTGAAACTTGCCTGGGTATGTCAGAACAGCAAAACAAACAAACAAAAGATGGAGGAAGGACATCCTGAAAATGTGTCTGTAAAAGCATAAGAAAATTGTCCAAACTGTCAAAATATATTTTTTCAGCACTCTAGATTTAAAGACTTGCAGCAATTCAGAAAGTTTGTTTTTTTTTTAAGGAAAAATGTCTGCATCTTGATTGTTGTGACATCTTAAGCCCTGTTTCCATCTTTGCTCCCCTGGTGCCTGTTAGCCTTGAAAACAAACCACTCACAACCACAGTGGAAAACCTGCAGCCTGGCAGCCCTGGAGGAGAGCAGATGGAACTGGAGCTCCTCAGAGACACAGGTGGTTGTTACTGTTTGACCTGTCTGGTCATTCATTGCACGACCCCCTCGCAAGGCTGTTTTCATATAATCTGAGGCAGACTTAACCAGGGCAGTAAGATTTTTCCCTGAAATAACTTTCCAAATTATGAGATGCAAATGTTTAACGTCCAGGCTGCCTCAAGCAGTAACAGTTGGGATAAGTAAGTTAACCAGAAAGCTTACAAGGAAATGTGAACAATCAAGTATCCACAGGGACTTTGATGAGTTCAAACATACTTCTTGGAATCAGGAAGATCTCACACATTGATAGGACTGTGTGAATGGACAGGAAAGTGCCAGGAAGCCTCTAAACTCTCACTTAACTGAAATTGAAGTGCCATACAAGAAATGAGAGAAGCCTGAAGGATTGGCAGCTTCCTAAGAGTTAAAGGCTACCCTAACACACAGAGCCCTTCAGCAGAAAAGGTATTGATTCCAGAAATCCAAGGAAATTTCTGTCCAAGTGTTAGTTTGCATACTGCTAAACTAAATAAGCCAACTTAAATGACTATCAATAGCAAAGAATATAGACTTCACAAAAGTAGTTCAGAAAAGTCACCATGTATTTACCAACAAAAACCATCAATAACAGTAAGCCCAGGGTTGGAGGGGATCTCATTTAAAGAACTGCAAGATTGTATTATTAATTAACGGGACATTCACAAAAAGAGCCCTGTACTCAGGGGAGATTTTCAATCAGAAGAAACTTTGAGGAAGCCCAATGTTTGGACTTACTCAAATTAAAGAAGTTAATTTACATATATTCAAAGAGCCAAAGGAAACCAAGTCTGAGAACACTGTCTTACCAAGTCAAGAATATCAGGAATGAGACAAATTATAAAAAGCCAAAAAAATTCTGAAGTTGAAAAATAAAATAACTGCAATGAAAAATGCAACAACAGTAGATTTAAGCAGGCAGAGATTTGGCAAACTTTTAGATGATAGAAGAGATTATCTGGTTTAATTAAGGAACAGAAAGTAAAAAGATGTTCAGAGACCTGTAGCACACCACCAACTATGCCAGCATGGGCATATGCAAATATGTGGCCCAGAGTTTCCACTCATATATACCCAAGAGAATTGAGAACATTCACATAAAAACTTGCACATGAATGTCCATAGTGGGCTCATTCATAAAATCTAGAAAGGTGAAGCAGTCCAGATGTCCTTTAACTGGTGATGGATCAAACTATGATATTAGTAATATCAAATATTATTCAGTTATAAAAAGGAAGTATTGATAGACAACACGACATGGATGAGTCTTGAGTAGGACATTGTGCTAACAATAAAGAACAACAAACAATGTGATTCCATGTGTATAAAATGTCCCAAATAGGTAAATTCATAGAGACTTAATGTAGATTAAGTGGTAGTGAGGAGCTGGGAAAGAGAGGAATTGTTTGTGCTGTTGGGTCTGGCATTTTTTGTTGAAAGGTAAATGTTCTGGAACTGAGTAGTAACTGTGGTGGAATGAGAAGGCCATGCCAAGATGGCTGCTGGCAACATACTCTGCCTGGCAACAGGCTGTGATTGGATGGCTTCAGATACTGCCTGGCAACAGGCTGTGATTGGTTAGGGCATAGACCACCCCTTGACCAGATTGGCTGACTTGGCTGTATAAGCTGTGGTACCAACTGAAATAAACGAGTCTGCAGGCTGCTTGCCTCTGGCCTGCTTTCACCCGGCTCCCTGGGGTCTGTGTGATGAGTCTGCGCCTCTTGCTTCCACCACGCTTCTCCCCTCAGAATGAATCCACCTCAACAAGTAACATTCATCATAAAATCTTGTGACCATACAAAATCCACAGAATTATGCACTTCAAAAGGGTGGATATTTCATATGTGAGTTACAGCTCAGTTTAAAAAATAATAGTTGTCATTTTTTCCCTCCTCCCTTGTAGTACTTCATTTGAATGCAGTATAGTTCAAGTGTTTCTGATGGTATTTATATAATTTTTCCTCCTTCAGTTGCATTTATTTGCTTTATATATGTAAGACATTACCATGTCTCATACTTCAGAGTTTTTAAGACAGTAAACTCAGAAGAGGGCAATGCTGCCTTTCCCTTGTTTCTGTTCTTTCCACTTCATTCCCACCTATCCCCTCTAAATAGTTAGTTGCGTGGATCTCTGGTATCTCTGTCTTGTGTTCCATTTGCCCAAATGAATAAACATCTATTTTCATATTTCCCCTTCCTTCTTACACAAAAATAAGCATTCTCTAAACATTTTGTAAACTTTTTTTTATCATTTAAGAATATATCCTATTACTACTAATTTGATCATAGAGATCTTCCTGAGTACCAAAAAAAAAAAAAAAAAGTGTAGTCCCCCATTGGGTAAATGTATCAGAATGTTCAGCCACTCACTATGTGTGAGTAAATAGGTTATCCTCCATATACTGACATAACAAATACTGTTGCAAAGAAAATATGAAAAGACAATGTATTTTCACATTGTTGGGGGCATATCATTCAGATAAATTCCTAGAAGTGGGAATGTTAGATCAGAAGGTGGTGTTTTGTAAACAGTTGCCAAATTCCCTATCAGGTAGCTTGTACCAATTTGTATTCCCTCGACAGTAGGAGTACATGAGTGAGGCAATTGTCCCCATAAATTCCCCATGATAGTACTGTATTTTACATTTGGATTTTTGGCAAATTGGATGGTTGAGCCATGTTGTATCTCAGTATAATTTGACTATGCATTGCTCTTACTGTGGCTGTAGGTGCATACTTTCTTCATGTTTAAGGATCATTTTTGTATCAATTTTTTAACATTATTTGTTCATGTCATTTACCCATCTTTCCTTTGGTGATGGCCTTTTGTTTTTAACCTTTCTTCCTCTGATTTTTCAACTTCTTCTAGGGATACTAGGTATTTTATGTATTACAAATATGTTTCCCGATTAGTTGTCTTAATTTTTAATTTTCTTTCATGCTATTTTTTTTTTCATTTAATTTTTGCAAGTGAATTGAGAATAGCAGAAAATCTCTCCCTACGATGATTTGCTTGCTATGTTATTTGGTATCCGCATTGATGCCTCTGCTTTCTTACTGTTTCCATTTCCGTGGATACCTTTGACTGTCCCTTAACTTTTTAGCCTTTCTGAATCATTCTAAGTGTTTCTCTTAAACAGAGTATAGATTTGTGGCCGGCGCCGTGGCTCAATAGGCTAATCCTCCACCTTGCGGCGCCGGCACACCGGGTTCTAGTCCCGGTCGGGGCGCCAGATTCTGTCCCGGTTGCCCCTCTTCCAGGCCAGCTCTCTGCTATGGCCAGGGAGTGCAGTGGAGGATGGCCCAGGTGCTTGGGCCCTGCACCCCATGGGAGACCAGGAAAAGCACCTGGATCCTGGCTCCTGCCATCGGATCAGCGCGGTGCGCCGGCTGCAGCGGCGGCCATTGGAGGGTGAACCAACGGCAAAGGAAGACCTTTCTCTCTCTGTCTCTCTCTCTCACTGTCCACTCTGCCTATCAAAAAAAATAAAAAAAAAAAAAAATAAAAAAAAAAATAAAAAAAAAAAACTTATAAACAGAGTATAGATTTGCTTCTTTATGAACCAAATTGAGAGTGTTTGAACGTTTAATAAGCAAAGTAAGCCCTTTTGCATCCACTGATAAGATGAATATATTTCCTTTTAACTGTCAGATTATCTTGTGTGTAAATATATTTATTATATTTAGTCTGTTTCTGTTAATAATAGATTTTCTGTGTTCTTTTTAAATCAATGATATGTTTGGTGTTTAGGAAGGTTTCTGTTTCTGTTCTAGTCATCATCTTGTGCTCTTTCTTCCTTAGATACCTCAGTCCCCTATGTTTTTATTCATTATCTATATTGTCTGTCTTTAGTGGCATCATTAACTTTCATTTGTTGCCTAAATACCATTTAATGTTTGATATACTTTCCTTTTCCCATCTCCCTACTCCTCCCATTCACATTCTTTGACTTATTGCAGTACATAGCACATAGCATAGAGCGTGATCATACAACGTCTATTCTTCTGTCTGTACCTTACTTTTAATTCTAGATTAAGCATATTAAATGCTTAATTGATAAAGTTTCTCATCATCTTTTGTTTGGATGCACTTCATCTACTAGCAGATTTCTCACAAAAGGATTTATGGGAAAAAAATGAGCTTTTTGACATTCCAAACTTTTCCTGTGATACTGGTGCTTAATGAATCGTGGCTAGATCTTGAGATTGTGGCTTTCTCGGTGGTCCTGTCACTTCCTGTGATAGCTAGAACCTTACTTTGGGGAATCTTCTGGGAGAGTTCCTTGCCCCTCTTCCAGTTAGACCATCTTATGGCCTGGTCGCGAATAGCTTTCTGCCCCTTCCAGCGAAACAGGATTGCTCTTTTTCTGTTA